CCCCTCCAGTTTTAGAGCCAGGCAGAAGTGATGTCCCTGAGTCCAAGGAGGCCTGGTCCTCAGCTCATCTGCTCAGCAAGGACGTGTGGAGCCCTGTGGGGTCAGAGGTGGAAGGACACGMGGGCAGCGTGCAGTGCTCAGAAGTCTGGGTTAAGACTAAAGTGCCCGAAGCAGATTCCAGTACCCTCTCCACTCAATGGGATTGTTTGGAGAATAATATAAGAAGAGAGCTGTGAAAGTACTTTGCAAATTAAGATGTGACTGGAATTCCTGGGAAAGACTGAGAATGAGGAGGGTTTTAATGAGAGAAGAAAGAATATTCATGGATTGGGGGTTGTGGGGTGTGGGGGAGATGAGTGTGCTCGGTCCACCACTAACTCTGGGGGAGGCATCAATGGCACATGAGTCAGTGGAAGCAGAAAGAACAGGACCAAGCCCACCCTCCTGGGGCTCCGGGTCCAGCTGGTGGGTGCGTGTGGTGGAGGACTCTGCAGTTTTAGCCAGGATGTTTTGTTGCATGCAATAGAAGGAATCAAATTAGCCTAAGTAAAGGGCATTTATTCCTGGAAATTCCATGAAATCCAACACAAAGCAGAATAAGCAGGATTGCCTCCGGGACCTCAGTAAGTGGAGCTTAAAGRCCTTCACCCTAGAGAGCCAAACTCAGGGTGATATCTTTTAAATCCTCCGGTATATACAGTATGACAAATTAGCAAATAAATAAAACAGATCAATGGTGGTATATGCTATGAAGTAGGTCAATGTCGAATGTTAAATCTAGGGGATGAAAAAGAGTCAGATGCAGAGAGCTAGGAGAGACCATTCTAGGCAAAGGTAAGAGAAAAGACAACGATGGAGAGAGACCCTGAAGTCAGAAAGAATTAAAGAGGAAAGAATATAGTGATGAGGGGGCGTGGCCAAGAGCGAGGGGCGTGGCCACGAAGGTGGTGGCCCTGACTTGCGGATTTTACAAAATGCTCAGGTAAGCCTTGGTGGGCACAGGTGGGCATGGCACAGTGAGTTTATGCTGCTCAGAAAGATCAGGCACTCGGCAAATACCAGCAGAGGCTGGTGACCGTACTGGGTCTTGGATGGCATTTGGGTAGTCAGGAATGATAACAGGTGACAGTGAGTAAAGGGAGGCAGGTTCCAATGTAGCAGATCCATCTTCTGGCTGGTTTTAGCCTCGGTTTGTTTTATGTTGCTGTAGCAGAATCTGCAGGCTCAATGATTTATCCTTTAAAAAAGAAATTTATTTCTCTTAGTTCTGGAGGCTGGGAAATCCAGGATCTGCGTGCTGGCATCTGGAGAAGGCCTTCCTGCTGGTGATGACAGGGACATCCCATGATGGGACACAGCAGGCAGGCGTGAGAGCTCAGGTCCCTTTTCCTCTAAGCCCCACCTCATGACCCATCTAACCCTGGTCACCTCCCAGTGGCCTCCCCTCCAAATGCTCTCAGCACACGACTTTGGGGATCACATTTCCAACACATGGACTTTGCTGGACAGATCATGGTGGTTCTTCGCCTCAGCGTACTGGGGTGTGTGGGGGTTCTAGTTTAGGAACATACAGAAAGGAAGACCCTGAACTAGAACCCACGGTCCTGTCCAGTTCTTGTAGCTGTGGACCCCGAAGAGATGAACAGAGTTGTGGGTGACAGCGAACCCTCTCTCTCGAAAGCTTATGTGTCTCCCAAGAAATGGCAAGCCAGTGCATACCAACCCCCAATACACTCACCCAGGCAAGGGGGCTGGCAAACAGGGCCTTAGGCAGGTGGCAGAGGACACAGGCTCTGGGCAGTTGCTGCTTGAGATCTCCCAGGCCCRAGCACTGTCCAGGCCCAGGGTAGGAAAGGTAGGCCAGGAGCCATTTGGATGTAAACCAAGTTGATCGTGAGAGGGTAACGGATCTCAGRTTTCCTTCATGTGGGGGTGATTATACAGAGAGACATGAGGGGAAAGTCCTCTTTTCATGTTTAGGGGGGAAAAAACTCACAATAAATCAATAAAAAATATGGGGGAAAATAAAATTCTTTAAAATCCTAGGAGGCACCCCAGGAATTTCTAAAGCAAGTTTTTTGAAATCTCAGTGAGGGGAGAGGGGCCCAGGAAATAAATCTTTGCTTTCTTTCCTCCTCGTTAGATTTCTTTGCTTTTTCCCCTGGTTTGGTTTGTTTTGAGTTGATGATTGGGGTGTGTGGGATTAACCTCACTGAAGAGGAAAATGAGTAACACTTGGTCAGTTTGTTGACAGCACAAACACGCTCACTCACAGGCTCACACACAGGCTCTCACACCCAGACACACGTGGAGCTTGCTGAGGGCTGGTGGAAAGGCTGTGAGGAGGGAGGGCAGGAAAGACCCAACAGCCCCCTCTCCTGCCCAGAAGTTCCCAGGAAGCCKGAGAGGCACATGGAAGCAGATACGTTACCCTTCCTTCTGGCGCTTGCCGTACCAGAGGTGACAACTTGGAATCAACCACCTTAATGTGGACCTTTTGATGGCATTTAGTATATTCACGGTACTGGGTGACTATCACCTCTTGTCTAGTTCCAAAATATTTTACCACCCCTAAATAACCTACAAAGCAGTTAGTAATGTATTAACAGGTTGTTAATGAGTTAATAATTTATTAATGACCTATTAAGCAATTAATAAAGTATTAATAGCCCACTTTTCTCCCCCAACCCAAAGCCCCTGGAAGACACCCACCTCTCCTCTGTCTCTGTGGACTTGCCCATTGTGGGTATTTCATGTCCATGGAATCTGACAATAAGTGACATTTGTGTTAGGCTGCTTTCACCTAACAGTGTCCTCGAGTTCCATTCATATTGTGGCACACTTTAGTCCTTTTCATGGCTGAATAATATTTCATCATAAGTATGAAACAATTGTCCATTGATGGCCATTTGGGTCATTTCTGCCTTCTGGCTGTGGTGAGTAGTGCTGCTCTGAGCATACATGTCATTTTGTCTGGATATCTGTTTTCAGCTCTTCTGGACACATACCCGGGGCATATTTGCTAGGTCTTATGTAATTCCATGTTTAACTTTTTGGGGAATCCCCATGTTTTCCACAGTGGCCGCACCATGACTTCTGCCCTTTGAAGATCCACAGAATGCTGTGGTTTTGATGCTCCCCTGCAACCCAAAGGCCTTCAAATAATTGAACCATGCAGTACCAGGAGCCAGGGTTGGTCCATTTGGTCAGAACTTGTGCTCACGAGGCAAAGGTTGGTCAGTGGCTCATTTCCCACACTGACCAGTTAGTTAGCTGAGCAGGGCAGACATTGGACAACTGTGCCTCCTGCTTCATATGCCACCATCTCATACTGTTCTGCCCTCTTGCAGAAGGTTGTTGGTGGCCACAGGGTGGGGCAAGAGTGGTTACTGGTTCCACCTAAAAGGAATAAAAATCCTAGCAGCCAAGGTCTCCTGGAGGCACAGTGGGATGACCTGGAGTCAGATGCTCACTTACCTCATTCACCTGATTTCTATGGGTCCCTTAAGTAAATTGCTTACTTCTGCCTAGAGCCTCAGTTTCCTCTAAGAGGAGAATAATAGTCCTTAGTCAAAGAGATAACAATGCATAAAAAAGCACATTCATTCTTTTCCTGGCTTGGTTCTCGTGGGTTTTCATGCCATTGGGTCTGAAGGGTGGGTGCCCTGGTCTTATGCAAGAGCCCCCACCCCCACCACCCCCACCCCCCGTTGATTTCTGCAAAAAACGCTCTTCGTCCCCAGGGGGCTGAGCAGGAATGGTGGTGGTGCACTGTCGGCCGGGGGGCCTGCACTGGCGGCTTTAAGTTGCCCTATTTGCATGGAATGAAGCTTGCTATGGTAACAAAGTCTGGTGGCTGGAATCCAGGGCCCCAGTGAAAAAATGCGAAGCCTGCGCTCTGGGAAAGAGGAGTCGGGAGGGGCCTCTCAGATAAGGTTACCTCAGTTCCTCGGTGGCCGAGAACAGGCGGTGGGTAAACTGAGGCCGCGGGGCGCATCACTCCTCGGCACAGGAGGAGAAGCCCACCCCCGACGCCCTCCCGTCCTCCCTCCCATCCTCCCCGCTCTCCCCGCCAGTTCTCAGCCCAGCTAAGAAGCTCTGGACCGGCTGGAGCAGCGCCCTGCACCTGGGGGGCACCAGCCGGGTGGGGGCTGTGGAGAGGCCGCAGCTCCACCTGCCCGGGCCAGGGAAGCATCGCGCTCCTTCCGGGGGTTGACAGCGCAGGTCGGCGGCGGGGCGGGGGCGGAGGTGAGTGGCACTCGGGCCACCAGCTCAGCTCCCCCCGATTTAGGGAACCCGCAAAGCAAGAACTCCGCTCCTGAGCTCGGGCGAGCTCCCTCCAGCTCCCCTTCGAGGCCCCTCTTCCGCGCACCCCTCTCTCCTGAGCACCTACCGCCTCCCGAGCCCCAGCCGGGCGCGGGGCAGTCGTCCGCGGGGCGGGGCTGCCCACCGCTGCGGGGAGGGGACAGAGGACCGACCTCGGCTTAGGCGCCCCCACCCTCGCCTGGGGCGCCGCCTGGGCCCCCCCGGGGGCGCGGCCCGCCCCCCGCATCCCCTGGGGGTGTGTCCGGAGGTGGGGGGCGCCGAAGACGGAGGGTGCCCCCAGCCCCCGGCCCAGGCCCCCTCCCGAGAGGGCGAATGGTAGGCTCCGGCTGAAGAGTGCCTGGCGGCTCGCGGTGTCCTTTGCGCGCAGCTCCCGGCGCCCGCCCGCCCGCCCGCCGGGGTCTCGGCAATCGCTGCTCCTCCTCCTCCTTCTCCTCCTCCTCTTTCTCCTCCTCCTCCTCCCCCCGCCGCCTCGCCACCGCCGCGGCTCGAGCTGGAGGCGCCGCTGTCATTCCTGCGCCGGAGGAGCCGGCGCTGCCGGTGCCTGGGGGTCGGGGCGCAGGGTAGCCGGGCCGCGGGGGACCCAACAGGTAGAGCCGGGGGTGCCCGGCCGCGCGCCCCCCGCGCATCATGCAGCTCTTTGTCACCTCTCTCGCCCCCAGGCCAAAATCCTGAGCATGATGGAAGACAATAAGCAGCTCGCGCTCCGCATCGATGGGGCGGTCCAGTCGGCCAGCCAGGAGGTGACCAACCTGCGAGCGGAACTCACGGCCACCAACCGGAGACTGGCGGAACTGAGCGGCGGCGGCGGCCCCGGCCCGGGCCCGGCAGCCGCGACCAGCGCCTCGGCGGCGGCGGACTCRGCGGCGGCGAACATGGAGAACCACCAGCTCGGCGCGCAAGGTAGGGATCGCCCGGGAGGCGAGGCCAGCGAGCACGCTGGCCCGGAGGTGGCCGGGGACTCGGCGCCCCCCATGCCCGGGCGAAATCGCTTTGCATTGTGCTGGTAACCCTTTCCGCCCGGCGGTGGTCACCGCGGCTCTGGAGCTGGGAGTTGYAGGCTGCTGTCATTAAGGAAAACCCGTGTGCACGGGGGTCACAGGGTCCCACCGGCCGGCCAGCCTGAGCGAGGTGCAGCCGGCAGGTCCCTTCCGGCAGTAGAGTGCCTTCTCGTTGGCACATGGCCCCCAGCTCTGTGGCAAACTTTTCACGCCCCCACCCCTGCGGCAGGGGTGAATGCCTTCGTTCCCCCCAGCTCCAAAGGCTGCTTCCTTTGGAATGACTCCCAGAGGGAGCTGGGGCTCTGCCGCCTTGTTCAGGGTGGAGGATTGGAGTAATGTGCACTTTTCTCCACGGATGCCAAATCCCTTGTCTCAATTGCATCTGGACTTTATTTTCTCCCCATTTGCGATCRCGCAGGCAGTGGGATATATCAAGGAACAGTAGATGCTTTGCTCTGCTTGGAGTTTAAATTTCCAGCAAGTGCACACGCCAAGAGAGCACTTCCCAGGGGAAAATCTGGACCTCAATGGTTGAGTGATGGGCCCTGGGGGAAACCAAGGCTCGCCTGGTAGATTGCAGGGAGCCCCTGTTTGGAAGGACTGTCTGCAGTTCAGAGGAAAGGGGAAAGACAGCTGGTCTGTGTTGACATTGATAGAGAGGAGGCTCTGAAACCCCCTGCAGGGGTTAAAGGTGAAGGAGGCCTCCCTCAAATGTACCCTCTGGTTTCTGTGAATTGGAAAGTAAAAAGGTAAGCAGGTAATCCTTTTCAGGACCCCCCCCCCATTGCCCTTTAAGAAACTGGTGATGAATATCATTTGAATTGTAAACTAAACAGCTGAAATTCAGAACTGGACAGAAAAGAAATCTCCAGTTCATGAGGGCCACTTATATAAATATGTCATTTGATGGAGTACAGGGTACCAATGGCTCAGAGGCTCCAAATGATTTTCTGGTTCTGTTATTTCAACAGCTTCTCCTAAGTGTGGAGAGAGGGTCTGTTTTCATGTGGACGCCTTCTCTCTCTCTCTCTGTCTGTCTGTCTCTCTCTCTCTCTCTCTCTCTCTCTCTCTCTCTCTGTCTCTCTCTCTCTCTCTCTCCCCCCCCCCCCCCCACTTCCTGAGAAGGTATGGTGTGCTTTGTGAAGTGAGATGCAGAGCCTGAAATGACAGTTTTGTTTGGAATTCTAAGTCAGATCTTAACTTGCTACTTCAGAGCCTGTTAGAAGTGTTTAAGAATGGGGAAACAATTTGGTAACAAAGTAGCCATGACATCATGGTGGGAAGATGTCCGTTGTTGCCTGCACGGTTTTCAAGGTTGATACCTGGTTGTTCTTGTCATTTATCCCTCCTTCTGTCATTGTGTGTAGAAGAACATTCTCACTGGGACCTGGGGGAAAAAAATGGGAGAGACAGACTGTAAGATAAGACTTAAGAAGGGACTCTTGTAACATTAAAGAAAGAGCTAAGAACTGGCATTTTGTAAGAATCAAAAACCATAGCCAGGGACCCTGAACAATGCTGGTGAATTTCCCACCATCTCTTCTTTTCTCAGCCAAGGAAAAGTTAAGTGGCTTTTTATCTGCGGACTGGATTTAGCTGCAGACGGGGCGTGCTGAGAAAGTCGGGCGACACTGATGCGTGCACACACCAGCCTGGACCTCGCAGCGCTGGCCGCTGTTAAAATGCTGTAGTGGAGCAACGGGGGCTGTTTCCTTTTTCTTTTTCCCACAAAAAAATGCACAAGGCTGTGGAGATGGAAACAGCTTTTTTGGATCTCTTGAGATGAAGTAAAAACACACAATCCCAGCAGTACTCTCCTGCGCTCCATCGCACCCTGCCCGTGTCAGTGGCTGGAAGAAGGAGGGCTTCCATTGCTCATCTTTCTGCCATGGGTATTTCTCAAAACCTTTAAGGGTACTTAGTGGTTTTATAATTAAAAAAGAAAAATGTTAAAGGTTTTAACTCAACTTAATTGTTGGCCACGTATTCATTTAAATTGATATGAATTTATACYGATGTGAGGGTCGAACAGAAAACAAGCGCAATGTCAACCCAGAGAGGCCTCCGGTACCCATCTAGAGCAACAGTACCCCGACTCCATACTTTTTGCATTATTGAGCCTTTCTGGGTTTGGGGTTTGTTTGCTTGATTTCCTGGCCTCGGGCTAGCACAGTACCTTCAGCAGAGTTGTTCTGGTAGTTTTTTCTGCTCTGGCTTTTATGTTCCTAAGGGGAAGTGTGGAGTTCTTACAAGTTAATTTTCAAGTGTGCTTGACTGCCTTCCTCCTGCTTCTTCCTAACATACCTCCAGGGAGGCTCACAGAAGCCCAACAGCGCCCGGCTCTCTGGACTGTTCTTCCCAATTGGAGTTATTCTTGTGTTTTGGTTTTGTCAGTGTTGGTGCCGTTCGGTGGGCCATTGAGTTATCACTTTTCAAATCAAGGTTTTGGGTGAAATGAGTATCTTCCAAAATACAACTATGTAAGTCGTCTTTTAACTAAAGGACATTATGCACATATTAGATACATGTTAATGTTCCTTTACTAATATTAGCACAAATGGTTAGGGGAAAGAGTCACCTCCGGCTTTCGAAATTTTTGTTGTTGTTTAAAAAAAAAAAATTCTAAATGAATGAAGCCCCATCATCAACCCATCTGCGCATGTTTTGTTCCAGTGGTGACAACTGGTGTCRCCTTGCAATACAGAAAACTCAGGTTTTCCTAGAGGGTTAATGCAGCGTGTCATTTAAACAAAATATTAACTTGCTTGGTACCCTCTGTGAGCTGGCATGGTTGCTATGTAACAGAATCTAGAAAGTGACTGCTGAAAATCTGGGCTTTCGGCACTTTGCAGGATCTTCTTTCGGAATCTGTGTTGAAAGAACGCCTGGCAGCCGGCCCATCTCCCTCTCCCCGCTGCAACTGGGTTGGATAATCCCTAATGAGGATGCTGGCATACAGCGCCGGGGGCATCCGTGCAGGGTGGCACATTTCACAGCCCCGGAGGCCACCTCTTGGGTTGGAGGGGTCACAACTGCTTTTGACAGGTGGACAGAAGGAAGGCTTGGAAAAAAAAACAGCCCAGCGTTTGTTCCAATTCATCTTGTCATGGGTAGCCAGAGAAAGGATTTGTTGAAAGTAACATTTCTAAGCTGTTTTCCTTAGTGGAACATCCCTGGGAAAATGTGTTTAAAATGCTTGCTGTTCTTTGAGGGGGAAACATAGTTTGTTTCTTTGAAAATGTTTTAGCTGATGAATGACTAATATTAGATTCAATTGGTTGCTTTGCTATGCATAGAATGAAGCAATTAAGCACCAGTAATACCCAATTCAAATAGGTATTAACTGTATATAACATAAAATGCTATGCCCAGTAGGATGTATGCATACTGCCATTAATTTATTGTTTTCTAAAGGAAATAATTGAATTTATATAGCAAGGGGGGTGCATGCCGAGAGCCTCTTTCTTTGGCGAGGAGGATTTCCTGTCTACTGAGCTTATTCAAATGGGGAGGGGGAGAGGGTTGTTTTTCCTAGACCTTTGTAAATTTCCATAACTATATGCAAATTTTATTTTTCTCCCCAGATGTTAAAATAGGCTATTACTTAAGGTCTGGCTGCTCTTATCTACCATCACTACAATGCCGGCGACTCTTTGGTGAAGTACAAATCCCCTCTGGAGTGACTTGAATGTGCTAGGAGTCTACCAAGATGCTAGACGCTGTTGCTTTGTAAAATAAGTTCTGTCCCTCGCTGTTCCCTTCCCAATTCATCCTGCCTCTGCTCTTGTGTGCCGGTTCTTCTTGGCGGGGGCGGGGGATTTTCAGATGGCAGAGAGGTGGGACTAAAYGTGACAGGGTCTCAGGGGCCCCCTCTGGCATTTGCTTGGGTCACAGAGCCCCAGCCCCACCCCCTGCCAGGCACACGTCTCCGTTTTCCAGGCAGGAAAATGGGCTGCAGGTGTCTCTTCTTAACCTGGCAGGTCCTCGTGAGCGAGGGCTTCAAAGTTCTTCCTGAAACTCACTGTGCGTGGACACAGAGATGACTCACAGATGGGTGCAGCGTGGTTGGAATTAGTGATCTTTCCAGCGTCTGTGGAGATGCCTTCAGAGGATCCTTGAAGTGAAGTTTCTGGTTCTGGTTGGTTTCGTGCTTCTGCCTGTGGTTTTCTGATTTTCTGCAGTTTTCTAGAACTTCTTTGCTGACCCCCAGAAGTCTTAGCTACTCTGCTTTGGGGACTTCCTGGATGCCAGCGAGTTGGCGGCCGTGGGCTTGGCAGGTGGGATCTGGCACTCCACCTGCTGACCCCGAGAGACCCACGGAGCCCAGGAGGTCGGGCTTGGGGTCTTGGCTACATTGACAGCATGCTGTGTGTCTGTCTGTCTGGCTGGCTGGCTGGCTGTCTCTGTGTAAACATGTATCCCTGGGTTTCAGAGCGGAGRAAAGTGAAATCAACATGGACCCTTTTCAGCCCCTTGCCAGGACTGGCCTGTGGGAACATCCGTCTGTGTCTTCACCCCCTCTCCCATGGGCCAGGAAAGAAGAGAGCCCTTCTGCCGGTTAAGCCCAGAAAAACGGGTTTTTAAGCCATCCTGCAAACGTGAAATGAGACCGTACTGCGTGGGCTGGACATTGGGACAGGTGACACTCGTGGTGACAGGGGTGTGGCCAACCGAGGTCCTTGTGCTCTGAAGTGCGACAGAGCAGGTTCTAGCAGAATCATTGAAGAAGGGATGGCTTCCCGAGGCCAACAGGGTGGCCCTCCACGTTGGCGCGTGGTGGAGAAGGTGGCGGAAGACAGGGAAGGGGTGGCTTCCTGTCCTCGCGGTGGAGCACACCTGCCTGTTGGGTGCAGCCTCGGTTCTGAGTGGTGGCAGGTGAGGCCACGCGCTGCGGCCCTCCCT